TTAGTGTTGATATAGTGGTAAAGGGTTTGTGTAGTTTGATTACCAAAAAAAAGAAAGGGTTTGTGTAGTTTGTATTATAGTATTATCCAAAAAAACATAATAATTTTAAAATAAATTGATATTTTTTTTTTTAAATCGACCCGAAATTCAAACTTATTAAAGAATCAAAATAAAACAAAGAAATTGTTTATTATTATTTTTCAGATACCAATTGATATCCGAATTCTTAACAGACCAATTAATTCGATTTTGAATTTGAATTTTTTCACTCTCCTCAAAAATTGACTCTCAAAAAATAAATCCACTTAAAATCCTTCCCAAATTGACATTTATCAATTTCTATCAACGCTTTTTATTGTCACAGTGACTTATGACTTCCGATCCTGTAGAGGCTGATTAACTTTTAAGGGTGATTTCATTCTATAATTCCCCATTTAAGTTTGCGATTGGAAATATTTATCAAACGGGTTATTAAAATTAATATTAAATAATTAAATTACAAATGTCTTATTGATAAAATTAATAATTATTAATCAATTATTACTAAATTAATAATTAATAACTCCTAATTACTAAAATTGATTTTCAATAACTAAATTATAAATCTTAAGTAATAGTAATTCTAGTGATTAGTGATTTTTTAATTTATTTTTTGATTACTTGTTTTAGTAATTAATAATATTTTTATTTAATAATTTTAATTATTTAGTATTTAAAGTTAGTGAATCAATATAAAAATATAGGTATTTTATAAAAAAAAGGGAGAATAAAAAAGAAATAGGGCAACTATTTTGCACCACGAACAAATATTTTATTTTTTTTAAAAAAATAAGGTTGCTAGGAGGGCGGTACAAACACTGGGAAATTTTTTCAATACTACCGTCTCTCCGAATTTCAATACATCCCTCAAATTAAAATTAAGAATCAATGCTGTTACAGTGATATGTTAAAGATAAAAACACTATTTCAACACATGTACGTTTAATTGTGAATGGATGGAGTACATGCTACGGTAGTATTGAAATTATTCGCCAAATACTGACCAATCCCTTTAATATATAACTCTGCTGCAAAACCAAACGAGGAGTTAAAGGGTGAAATTACGGCCAATGAAAATTGGCATAATCGGTCCAACCTTCCGCCCAGTTAATGGTTGAGTTCAATTTAGAGATTTTTCCTAAACTTATATTGAAATCTCCGTTAATCTAAATTTTTTGTATATAAGAAAAAGGGAGTTGAAATCACTCAAGTCAATCAGCCTCCCATGGGGGTTAGGATACAATCCTTTCAGACAATAATAGTGTACTGCTATAATATCGCAACAAGTAACATCATTACATAAGAACGATTATCATTACATAAGAACGATTTAGGGGGCACTTTCGCTTTGCTTGTCCAACAACTACTTGGAAGATTAGCTGTCCCTTTCGCTCTATTTCAACTCAATAAAAAATATATATGGCTATATGCTGTGTGAAGTTAATTGGATAATGGATGGTCTCCAAGTAATCTATAGTATTACTACTAGGTTGCTTTCATGCCATTGCATTACTTATATTAATCAAGTTCTTAATAATGATCGCACTCCCAGTATATATCTCCAAGGAGGCTTTGAGTGTAACAGCCCCAAACCCTGTAGCATGATATTGTCTGCTTTGCCCTCGGCCTCACGGTTTTGTTTCTTGTGACACCCCACAAAAGGCCTCGCACTAGAAGAGATATCTACACCATTATAAGGCATGCTTCGTTCCCCTCTCCAACCGATGTGGGACATTACATTGAGCAATTTCTTTCCTTGGGATTTTCAAGTCCTTATAATGCGTTACATCTCACTCTTTAGAAAGATTAATTATATCTTTATTATGATTAATTCTTAGCAATGATTAATAATTTATAACGATAATTTAATTATGTAGCATGAAAAACATTTAATAGCCTTCAGCATATTGGGGTGGAAATTGTGAAAGCAGTGTATATATCTAAAAAAAATATTTAATATAATTTTTATTTTTGATATCAAGATCGAACAGTAGATACCGTGTACTACCTTATAATTCTTAGCAAGTTCATACGGTTACCTAAACAAAAACTGAATAAGACTATATCGATGTAGCTATGCTAACTACCCGCGGGTCTCAAATAATTTTTCTTTTTGCCGAACACTACATCAGCAAAAGTAAGGATCCCTAACAAAAACAAAGTCATATAGTTACCTGCATATAATTTTTGTATTGTTTATATGTGAAAGATTTGTTGGTGTGGCTTAAAGAAAGAGTTATAACTGTAGCAGTAATCTACTAATCTTGGTATATTTGAAGAGAGATAAGTCGATATCGATCAAAAATCAATATATAAAAATGAATTATACCACGCATAACCTGAGAGGGGGTTATAAATCCACTAGTGTTTTATCAAAAAATAAATAAATAAATAAATCCACTACTGTTGAATTGTTAAGTGAAAATTACAAAAATGTCTTAAGACCAAATCTGTGCATAGAAATGATATGTTAAAGAAGAGATAAAGCAATTCAACTGGAACTAAAACAATTTCAAAAATACTTTAATAAAACTTGAGATAAGATTCTTAGAACAATTTTTTTTCCTTTTAGAAAATATAGCGCATCCAAATTAACTATTTGATTAATCCAATATATATTAGACTTGATCATACACAGTTAAGCCTGGTACCGGTCTAATAACAATTTGAATATTTTTTTTCGGGAGAGATGTAGCAGCGGGACAATTATGCGGGATAGTTAAACAATGCTGAATGATCTTATTTGGCTGAAATAAATATGGGGATACTTATAAGACCATTCGACATTTAAATCAATATTTAATTAATGAGCTTTAGTAAAAATAAATAAGATGAACAGTTGGCAGCTGAGCTCCTAAGGGATTGCTTGGTGCAGGGATCAAACTCTGCCTCAAGCAGTTTCTTGGAAAATCTTTGGGAGCCAGAGGATAAGCCAAAAATCTTCGGTTGGGGGATTAGTCTCATCCTTTCTCCGGCTGCGAAGCTTAATGCACCCACTGTTACAATGAGGGGCTAGCCCAAACGGGCCGTACCCCGAGGGCATGGTGCCCGGAGAAGGTTGAATGGGATACCTCCTGGCAATGTACCAAAAACAAATAAATAAGATGATCATACATGTGCTGCTGTTATCGTAGACGTACACCTGCAGAATATGGGGATACTTATAACGTCAATGCAGGATATGATTTTTAGATCTCTTGAACCTTTTATGAGTTGGACCCAATATCCCGTATGGAATAGTTACAGATCACTATTTAATGTTGTGTACTTTGCATTATATCAGCTATTAGCCATTGTGTAGAGTTAATTTTTTAACATTCAGACCATCTAAGTTCACTAAACCCCACTCAACATCTCGATTGAATCATTTTTGAACTTGGAACTAATCCGATCGCGACCTTACTAATGATCGACCATATTGTGAAGAAATTTCAAAATAAAATATGTCAATACAAAAGCATTATCATATTATGAAAAAAAATGTATTAACATAGTTTAGGAGTATTGAGAAATCTAAGTGTGAGTGAGTTAAGTCTCACATTGATAAAGAATAGACTGAGTATGCACCATACAAGTAAAAGGACCCATACATTTAAGGCTTTGAGTTGATTGTGATATCTAAACTCACTTAATATCTTCGTTGTTCACTGAGCCTATTGATGATGGTCCCTCTGTGTCATGAGCTTCCCATGCCGGCCCAACAAAGAAGTCTTATATTTTATCAATAATTTGTAAGAAAATTATAAGTTATTTTTTTTGGAGTTAACCCAACCTTAATTACTTCTTTGGAGCGAGTTGGCTCCCCCGATATCCCCATAAGCTTTGACTCTTTGAGCCGAATATGAGACTAATCTAAAGTACGAGACTGATCATGGATGAAAATTATAAGTTGTTAAATATTATGTGACATTGTTTTGGGTTGAGTCAAGCCAACTTAAAATGAAAATTACATGCATACAGACTCGAAAATATATCACGTCTAATTTTTAAGAATTGAACCTAATTTGCATAAAGTGGCGTCAATTTATAATTCTTCAATTTGACATCAATTTAATTCTTCAATTACGTAAAGTGATATTAATTTGCTTCTCAAATAAAGTTGACATAATTTATTAATCCCTCACAAGTATTTATTAACGGATTCTCACGGTTTTGTAAGAGAAAAACTATTTAAATGTCATTTTTTTATAATTGAGGACTGCTTGAATTGAATTTAAAAAATAAAATAAAATAAAGCACGTTAGTTTTACTTCTTTTCTTTTTTCTTTTTTCTTTTTAAATAACGCGGGTTCACTTAATTATTTATAACAAAGGATAAGATTTACTTTGATTATTTTTAAATATAGTTTTAGTTTTCAACTCCAGATTGCTAACGATGGCTAATATGCACCTACTACAACATTGGAATATATAAAGGTCAATTCATAAGTAGTTATCTAGACAACAACGCTATGAACATGCATATATAAAAGAATAGAGGGTTTTAAATTTGAATTAGCTATAGCTCTTATCTATCGAAAAGGCCTGCAACAAACATTTCAATTTTTTTTTTCTCACAAAAAAGAATAATACATTCCTACTTTCATCAACCAGTTACTCGAGGTGGACCAACCTATTATAGATTTCATCACTCAAAATTTTTTAACATTCTTTTCGCTATTAGCTAGTGGCATGATCAAAACAACGTGCGTATCTTGATTATAAATCCAAACACTACAATAACAATTAATCTCGACTATATGTAAGCGTTGGGGCAATGTTTGTGCAGTTCTTATGGGATTTTGGTCAATGGTACATATTATGACCTTAAGTATTATTTATGTTGATAAATTCAAACAAGTAAATTAACAAGGAGCTAGTTGGCTAGTTGCTATACTTGCTTTCTATATAAATCCTCCCTCTAGCTAGACGTTACTCACATAGCAAAATCTTAGCTCAAAACCTCATACAAGCATAACACAATGGATTCTCATCATCTCCAATCTTTCTTTGTGCTTGTTATGGTCACTTTGTCAACATTTCTGATCCCTACCCTTGCAACCCTGACTCCTGATTATTATGACACAGTTTGCCCTCAGGCATTGCCAATCATAAAGGCAGTTGTTAAGCAGGCAATTATTCGTGAAAGACGCATAGGAGCATCCTTACTGCGCTTGCATTTCCATGACTGCTTTGTTAATGTGAGTAACACTTAACCATGACTATCATTGTTGTCTAGTTTCCCATATTTACTTCCTCAAAAACTAATTATTCTTTGGTTCATTCAAATTAAACCAAACGGTGTGTAATTATCATTACTAATATCAAAATACTTAGGATTTATTCTTAGCCATTTTTCTTGTCTATATCGTGCTCTCTCTTATTGTGTTATATGGTTATCCCTAATGTAAGGGAAAAATATTTCTCCTCCAAAATAAGATAATATTATTCTGGGATTTAGGGGAAAAAATGCAATGACATTTTGAAAATTTTACTTCTTTGCTATAGTATGAATTTTCCTAAAATGAGCGGCATTTTTTTCTAAACCCCAAAACGACACTATTTTGATTTTACTAGAATAATATTAAATTTGTGTATATTGTTAGGCTCTATTAATTTTCTATTGCTGAAGAGAAGTCACATGCTTCTCAAGATACGGGATACTTCCAGTATCCTGAGAAGCATGTGACTGCTGTAAATAACTTCTCTTTCATGCAATTGAAGAGATATATATCCCATATTGTTATAACTTGAATCTGAATGTCCATGTCAACAAACTACAGGGCTGTGATGGATCAGTTCTGCTAGATGACACCCCTTTCTTCATTGGAGAGAAGACTGCACTTCCAAATAACAATTCAATTAGAGGTTTTGACGTGGTTGATGAAATTAAAGCAGTTGTTGACAGAGTTTGCAAACGTCCTGTGGTATCATGTGCTGATATCTTAGCTATAGCAGCGCGTGATTCTGTTGCCATAGTGAGTGTTATCCATGTCTTTCGTTCTCTGATCAGTTCTAGTTTTGTATGCCATGCATACACTGAAAACTAACAAAATTTTGCATCTGTTAACAGTTGGGAGGTACACAATATTGGTACAAGGTGTTATTAGGAAGAAGAGATGCAAGAAATGCAAGCAGGGATGCTGCAAATCTCAATCTTCCTGCCCCTTTTCTCAACATCTCACAGCTTATTTCTAATTTTCAGTCTCATGGGCTAGACCTTAAAGACCTAGTGGTCCTATCTGGTGGCCACACTATTGGATTTGCCAGGTGCAGTTCCTTTCAGGACAGGATCTTCAATGACACAAACATAGACCAAAAATTTGCAGCCACTTTGCGTAAGACATGTCCTCTAGGTGGTGACAACAACAATTTAGCACCACTGGATGCGAGTACTCCTGCTAGAGTTGACACCTCATACTATACAAATTTGTTATATGGAAAGGGTCTGCTTCATTCTGATCAGGAGCTCTATAAGGGTGATGGTTGTGGTGAAAGTGACAGATTGGTTCAGCTATACAGCAACGACCCTTATGCTTTTGCCAGAGACTTTGGAGATTCCATGATCAAGATGGGTAACATGAAGCCTCTTACTGGGACAATGGGAGAGGTAAGGTGTAATTGCAGAAGAGTCAACTAGAACTGCAGATTGCAAGTCTCTGGATCACAGTAGAAGAAAGAATGATGAAGATTGAGAAACTGTTTAATACAAGTCATGGCAATTTTTATAATCTCTGTAAGTTATCTAAAAATGTCGATTGTTGACAATAAGGATTCTGGTTTCAAATAATGAACCATGAAATGTCAAGGTGTGTGTCAAACGTGAGATTTAATTATTATAATTTTTTTTTTGTTTCGTTTAAGTGTCAGACTAATTGGCTTGTGCATTGTAAATGTTTATATTGAAATTTATATGTTTTGGTTGCACCCACAATGAAAAGCGTTACTTGGCTGGTTTCAAGTTTGAACTTTACATGTAATATATATACCTCCATACTCAATCATATATATATGGGTTCAAGTTTTCTTATATTGTAGGATAATAGGAGAGAAAAAAGTAGAGATAAATTAAACGTGAGTCCCATATTTTATATTAAAAAAGAAAAGAAAAAATAATAATTGACACGGAAAACGAATTTGTGTAGGAAAAGATTTTACTCTCCAGTAGAGGAGAGCATTATTTTCTTATATATATATATATATATGAGAAAAATATTTTTCAAGGTTGACCTTTACATGTAATATATATACCTCCATCAGTGGCGGACCCAAGAAATTTTCTTTATGTCTGCATACTCAGGGCAGGGGTTCGGGGGTGCCGCCCCCGATTTTTTTTAAAGATCATAATCATGATCCAATATTTACTTCAACTTCAAAAGTAAAACTTTGGTGAATCAACCAAAGTTTTAAGGAAATAATCGATAATGATAATTAAAAAATAAATAAAAACCACAAATTTTTTTTTGTAAAATATAGTATAATTGTAAGGTTAATCGATCAAAAACCCACCTTTGTCGATATCTATTTGATTTAAAGTTGACCAATTTTGTTTAATAAAAAAACGTGAAAAATTCTATGTGATTCTCCTCCACTCTTTACCTTTTTTCTTTTAATCTTCATATTTTTTTTTTTACTTGACTAGAATCACACACCTTATTTAAAAAAAATCCTCAACTTTATGTCTACAAGTGCAGACCATGGCAACCACCTAGGTCCGCCATTGACCTCAATACTCAATCATGTAAATGTTTATATTGAAATATATATTTTTGCGTAGATTGAGATATATTTATCTCCATCTACGCAAAAACTACGTATTTTGTTTGTTTATTTCCTTATATTAATTGATTTTTCTTTGAAAGGTTATGATTCCTTTTTTTTCTCTCTTCCTTTATCACCATTGATCCATCTTTGTACGGTTATGATTTAGTAGCCGGAGATAAGTTTTTTTTTTGGTATGCGCCGGAGATAAGATTATCTCAAGTAGCTTGAGAAACGATAAGTCATATATATATATATATATATATATATATATATATATATATATATATATATATTATCAAGTAGCTTAAGATATATTTATCTCCGTCTACCCAAAAACTACGTCGCTTTTGTTTATTTATTTTCTTATATTAATTGATTCACCTTTGAATGGTTATGATTTTTTTTTCCTCTCTTTTTTTATCACCATTGATCTTTAGTAGTCGGAGATAAAGTTATCTCAAGAAACTTGAGAAACGATATATATATATATATATATATATATATATATATATATATATATATATATATATATATATATATAGGACATGATCATCTTACACCGGAGTAAGAATAATAAGTCTTACACCAAATCTTAACCGTTGACTTTTTACATCTAACGGTTAAGATTTATTAGATCTCATTAATTAATTAATTTTTAATTCCTAGTAAATTTCAACCGTTAGCTGCACAGAAATCAAAGGTTACGATTTGGTGTAAGATTTATTATTCTTACACCGGTGTAAGTTGATCCTATCCCTATATATATATATATATATATATATACATATCGGCTTTAATGTTTCTAAAGTGAAAGTAGATAAGTTATCTACATTCGCTGCTAAAATATAATGAAAAAGACTATTATAACCCTTGAATAAATTATAATTACAAAATTATCTTGATTTCTGCCCCAAAACGACGTCGTTTTGGGCTCAATGTATATAAGTTATCTACATTGACTGTAAAAAAAGAAAATATATATATATATATATATACATATATATATATAACTTGTCTGCTGACATGGAGAGATAAAAAAAAGTAATTTTAACATTATAACTATGTACTAAGTGTGTGACTCGAGATAAACTTATTTTTAGTGGCCGGAGAAATTTTTTTTCATATATATATATATATATATATATATAGAGAGAGAGAGAGAGAGAGAATAATGTTTTTCATATTGTAGGAGATAATTTTATCTCCTACACACATAAAAGCGTGTGGGGCCCATGTGTGGCTATGTAAAGAGAAAAGAGAGAAAAAGAAAACATGTGTAGGAGATAAAATTATCTCTTAAAATATGAGAAACACTAATCTCGTGTGTGTGTGTGTGTATATATATATATTTATTTATTTATATAGCAAAATAATTTGTAATGTGACTGCATCTAAGGATTGGTACAGCCACACACTTTGTTGGATATATTAATAATATAATCCAACAGTATGTTCACATACTAGCTCAATAGGTGAAAGCATGATTATTTAGGTCCATATGAGATTGTATTATCTTTAGGGTTTCATAAGCTAGATATAACACTCTTGAGTATTCCAAACTTGATGTCTCTTGGTATAATACTTCAAGCACCTCTAAACCTTTCTCTCTCAAACTCATTACCTCCAACACACTATACATTATGTCTTACCAGTAAGACATGTAAGACATATATATATATATATATATATATATATATATATATATATATATATATATATATATATATATGAACCACTAGCAGTACTAAGCCGTTTAGAAGTCTTTTCAAAATATTTAGTAGGAATTAGACCTTCTTGAATGCAGTTTGAATCTGCCCCTGTGTCAAACAGAGCTTCAATTTCAAGGTCAAAATTACCTACATTGAGTTTGATTGGGATATAGAATTTTTGAATTGTTAATTGATTAATTAATCCTAAAAATTCTTCGTCTTTAAGATTTTTATCTTCATCTGGTTTAGACAGAGTATTTTCCATACTCATTCCCGTTGATTCTTCATTTTGTAATTGAAGAAGGATGTTTTGATGAGTTTGTTGTTGTTCTTTGATTTGTTTAACTTCAGTTCTGAGAATATTGATCTCATACTGAAGATCTTGGACAGTTATAGGTTTGACAGTAATACTCTTCCCTCAATAGAAGGATCAAGGTTTAGGTTATTTAGTTTTTTCTTAAGCCTACAATATTTACTAATATGTCCAGGTTTACCACAGTTGTAGCAAATAGTTGGCTTAATTGGTTTGGATGTATTTTGTGATTTATTTGTTTCAGTATTTGGCTTAGGCCGGAAGTGTGAGGAGGGAAAAGAAGTAAACTAGAGCAGAAATGGAAAGCAGGAAAGTAGACGGACTACTATATGAAATAAATGACTGAAATTAAAATGCAGAAATTAAAACATAAAATAAATTTAAAGTGAACGCTGGGGTAATTCCACTAGCGTGAGGGGATGAGAAGAGAAGAATTGATTTTACATCAGCAGATATAGAAACATATTTTATTCAAACATAAGGAAACATAACGATTACAGTTACAGATTGAAAGAGAAAACAGAGAAGAAGAGAAAACTCAGAAGTACCTCGCAGTCTCTCTCTAGACTATCTCTCTAAACTCAGCAAATAAAAAGGATGCCTTCAACAATCTGAAGAAATCCTATATATAGACTAAAAAACACTATTTCTACAGTACAGGTCATGAAACCGGAACTGTTTCAACAGTGCAAGTTTGAGTGCACAGTAACTACCGACACTTTTGAGATTTTTGACTACAGTATCTGTCGACACTTCTGATTGCGTCACTGATTGCGTCATTTCTGCTGACGTCATGCTTATGTCATTCTGACATCAGCTACTTCAACAATCTTCTGCCAAGTCTAAGGCAAAACAGTCATCTTCATTTTGGTAGAAGTCATCTGCTGAAGAGGAGATGGATGGAGAAGGTGAACCAGTTTTCTGTTTAGAATTTCCAGTTTCTTCTTCTTTAAGGAGTTGGAGGATGCTCTGCAAATTTTTTGCAAAGCTTTCTTTGCTGGTTGAAGCAGATAGTGTTGCTGTAATTTTGGCCTTCTGATTCAAGAAAGTACAATTTTCTGGATCAGCTAGTTTAATATATTTTGGATGTTGTTTAAACCAAAGCTTGACATTTTCTGGGCAAGCTCTAGATGCATCAAATTCCGTCCACCATTTAACAAATGCTTGTCGTTTAAGTATTGGGAGTTTGGTGCCAGATTTATCTTCATAATGATACTGCCATGAAAATATCCATGCCAGAGAAAATCTAGAGAAGAAGTGCAGATCTATTGGGAACGGATCTGTCAGTTTGTCAAATTTTTTTGAAAATATTGTTAATCCTTCAAACACCATAGGTGGAAGGATATCAAGGATTGGTCCAAAATAATCCCACCATTTGATAAACCATTGAGGGAATTTATATTGAACATTTTGTTTAAAATAAATTAACCAAGAGTGTTTATTTTCTTTATTTTGCATAAAGAATACATTAGTCCAGGCTAATTCATAATCCCAGTAATTATAACCGATTGGATCGTAAGGTTGGGAAAATTTAGTAACTTTGTTTGGGTTTCCATATTCTGATGGAGTAATTACTTTCAGAATCTGGATAGTTGAGTGAGTTATAAACTCGGGGTCTTTTGGACTTCTATAATGTTTGATTGAAATAGAGTTTGAATCAAGTAAAACAAACTCATAGAAATTTTGGGATTTATTTGAAGAAAGGGGTTTGAAATGAAATTGATTGCCTTTGAAGTCTTTGGGAAAGATCTTCGCAGGTACTTTGGTTGGCTTATTATCCCAGTAGGCTGGTTCCATCTGAATAACTTCTAGGAAATTGTTTTTTGGGATATATGGTGTTTGAGCTTTTGATTT